ATCGACATGGAGCTGCTGAAGGAAAGGGAGATCGACAGGAGCAGGCTGCAGCTCAAACAACTCCTGGGAGAGGGCGCTTTTGGACATGTCGTCGAGGCAACGCTGACGCAACCTGAGGAAGACGATGTGGTGGTAGCTGTCAAGAAACTCAAAGGTGATTAAGATACTAAATGTGGGCATTATAAGGAACATTGCAGTAGATAACAGTGTCAGTTCAAGAGTTCATGATTGTGCTTACTAATAGCTAAATATTAAATTACTCATAACTGTACTACGTATCGCTAAATGTGTACATTTTGGTGTTTCTCCAGACGATGATGACCCCCAGGCCAGACAAGATCTTCTGCGGGAAACCTGCATCATGTTGTTGTGCGGTAACCATGACAACGTCCTCGGGCTGAAAGGCATCTGTTTTAGAGACGGTCAGTTCAAAATCATTGTGGCTCATGAATGTTTTTGTTTGCGTGCAATCACAGCACTCACTTATACATAATATGAAGACATGTAGATGTGCAGCCATACTAAAACATTTTATTGTAGGCCCGCTCCAACTGGTTCTGGAATATGCCGAACACGGGAGTCTCCTTCACCTGCTGTGGACGTTACGTGCGGAGTCCAAACTCAACAGGACCGTTCTGGTCAACAAACGGCACATCTTCGAGAACATGATGGTGGAGGTCTGCTGCGGACTGGAGCACCTGGCGACCAGGAGGGTAAGGGAATCTTACGAAACTGTTCATATCTCCTCCTTCAGATTCTCTGTAAAACATTCTACAGATTTACTACAATAATCACCACTTATATGTGGGAGGTTTGCCATCGTTTTCTGAAGTAATTGAAACACTCAAAACTGCTAGAGACACGAGGCAAATGGGTTGCTTACATTCTATGTCCAGCTGGTTCACCGAGACATCGCGGCCCGGAACATCCTGATCTGTGGGAAGGGAACCGCCAAGATCGCGGACTTCGGGCTGGCCCGGGACATGTACGCTGTGGGGTACCATCGGCAGGACAGGGTAGGTTCATTCAAAGTAGAAAATTAAGTTCAAAATAGGAAAGGTGGATTCTATTCAGCTGCAGATCCTGCAGTCTTGTCACAGCCGGATTTGGATAGAAATTGAAGTAGCTGTCCTTCCTTGTCTCTCCAGGGCCGCGACCTGCTGCCGCTGAAGTGGATGGCCCCGGAGGGCCTGAAGAACGAGGCTAGGTTCACTCACAAGAGCGACATGTGAGTTTAAACAATTTTCCCTGAAACAAACATACATGGTACATACAGCAGTTCATCTTTACATCTTCGATATAACTAAACTGCAATACTGCTACCCTTTTTCCTTAATTCCTAACACCATTGAGTTTTTAATTTTCTAGATGGTCTTTTGGGGTTCTGTTGTGGGAGGTGGCGCAGCTGGGCCGCACGCCGTACCCTGGGATGGAGGGGGCAGACAGAATATATGATGCTCTGCAAAACCACTTCAGACTCCCCAGGCCTCAGCTGTGTACAGAAGAAAGGTGAGCCCGGGATGTTTCTTGAGAGAAACTACTAAGTCCATACAAGAGTGAACGAGACAGGAAAATCTTTGTCAAGGTTAGCCCAAAACAAGACGGCGGGTGGTATAGACTTCTGGGTATACCTTAAACACCTTTGGTCACTTTTCTAGGCTTGTATCCAATCATGTTATAGCTGCTGAATCCCTTTTGTTGCTTAGTTTCGTTTCGATCCCTTTCGCGCCCAGATACCAGCTGATGCTGAAATGCTGGAAGTTTAACGAGAAGACCAGGCCGGACGCCACAACTGTCAGGAAACTACTGCAGGCGGATCCCAACGTGAGATATTCTTACAAATATACCCATAAATCTCACAATATTGTCTTGAATATTTTTCTCGATGCCAATCACAATTTGTTTAAATGTTGTTACGTAATCAGGTATGTAACATTTATAGCTAATTTAACAGTTATTCTTGGTCCATTTTGTTACATTAGGGCTTCTTCTATTTCACCGCACCTGCGGCAACAGTGAAGGCACCGGCAACGCCGGTATGAGACTACCACATTGGACGTCAGGACAAAGCCGTTAGTCTGAACAAGAACAGAGGACAATGTGTGCACTGTATATAGAATGAAAGATTGATAAAACCAAGGTCCATTTAACTGTAATTTCAATTTTGTCCAGCCATCGCGGAGGAAAATGCATATGGTTAACAATGCCTATAACTGAGCCTATTGCAACTTTGTAGCAATGCTTTTGGAAATGAAATATTGATATGTACTTATTCTTTGTTGATATAAGACCTACGTAAGTATCCTCCATGTATAACTTTATCTTTGAAAAGCTTGGTTGGAATTCTGTTTTCCGGTCTACGATGTCAGTATACGCTTCTATTCATTGATAGGATGCAAGCCTATTGTTTGGACAAAGTTGGTGACAAGGAATAAATCATATGGTACAGTCGATATCATCATTCGTTTCTACTTATTGAATCAACGGTAGTGTACTGTTTGGTCAAACTGGGTTCCATTGATCTTATTTGCAACGGCAAGGAATACATGTAGAAAGTGTAGAAGTAACGTAATCCATTTCCTTAATGAAAAGTACCAAGTAATCGGAGTGGGAATGCTGTTGAAACTTTTGGCACAAAATAGTTCATCACAGATTTAATTGTCTTTGGATATGTCAATCCTGACTGACGCTATAAGTAACATATTCTATTTGTTTAATGAAAAGTATCAAGTAATTGGAAGGCAATCGCTCCTGAACGTTTGGCACAAAATAGTTCATCACAGCATTAATTGTCCTTGGACATGTCGACCCTGGCTGACAGTCTCTTGCAGCCGTACCTGGAGAAGACCGGCCTTTCTCTAGGGTAAAACTGCATCTCATCAACTATTGGCTGTGCCGTTTCCATGGAAACCGTGCGTCCATCTGTGGCCAGCTTCACCTCTGCACATTTCAGGACATGTTCTCTCTCCAGGGGCAGGAAAGGCACCAAGTAACGATTTGAGATTTTCCCGCCCAAATCTCCTGGCCAGACGAGTTGTGGCCTGTCCGAGTCCGTGGCCTCTGGAGACACGTCTTCAGTTGGGGGTGGGGCAGTTGCCATGGTAGCGGGGTGATTGACAGGAGCATGGCCTTCTGGGATGTTTCTGTGTTGTTTGACAGTAGAAGCAGTTTTGGCGGATTTACTAGATGCAGAGTCAATACCAGATGGTTTTGGAATTTGTTCCAGCTGTCTGAAGAGATCCTGTATCTCATCTTCTCTGATGCTCTCCCTAGATTTGCCTTTGCTCAACTCCTCTAGCAAGTACCTACTCAAATACAGTTCTCCCGTACTGTAGATGAAGATGTACATACTGTTTGAGGTGTCTTCTTCGAGCAAGGACAGAAGTCCGTCGGCTAAGTCGGGATAAACTTTCTCCATTTCGTCGAATACAAACAGGTGCCTCTTAAGGTTGCTATATGAGATGTTTCCCTTAACCCAGTGGCGGACTTGTTCTCTGTACAACTGTGCCTCCTCCGGGTGTGGGAAATGGTGGGGAATGATGAACTCATGTACTTGAACTCCGCAATTCTCAGACAGAAACGTAGACACGATCCTACTCACGAACGTCTTCCCCACACCTGAAGGCCCGAGGAAAGACATCACCAGAGGTGCGCTGCCGTGTGTCTCCGCCAGGTTGCCAAACAGCGCTTCTAGAACGACTCTCTTGGCGATGTGCTGTCCAAATAACCTTTGGTTTAGCTCTTCTTCTAGAGCTGAAATGCTGCAGGGGTTCCCTTCATTGATATTGTCATGTTCGTAAAGCTGAACAGCAGTGACTGCGATAACACAGACGGTCAAGACTGCGATGAGAGGAAGAATAAAAGATCTCTGGCTGCATTTCTTTGGTTTCTTGACATCCTCTATCTTTGATTTCTCGTCAGTGGCAGCTTGGGTGTGGTTGTTGTTGGAGTTGGTTTCGGGATATCCCAACTTTCTGTGGCGTAACGTTTTCTTCTTTGCTGGAGGCGTGGACAGGTTTCTGCCTGGTTTGGGGGATGACCTGGTCGGGGATTCTGTGATTGAAAAATTAGCAAAATAAGAGTAAATCTAAAAGAAAGCTGAAAAGACACAACTTTTTTCATAATTACACATTTAACATGGCACTAACAGTTCTGCATTTTACTACACACCCCTTCCGCGATGTTTACATACATTTACATTCATCCACACATGTTCAATATCACATTCTAATGATTGGCCCCCCTCCCCTCCCCTTCTAGTCTAATGCCACGCTTTTTTGATCATATTCAAGAAAAAAAACTATGGACTTACCTGACATGGACGGCTGCAGCGATCGGGGCACGGGAATATTTCCGTATCTACCGACGTCTCTATTACCTGGGGACATCGCGGGGAGGGAGAGGCATTTCGGGGACATCCCCTGTCTCGTCTGGGCCTCGCGTTTACGTACAGGTGACGTCAGAGCGGCACCGGAGCTGTGGCTACTCTTCAGAGGAAGCGAGGCATGATGGGTAGACCAGAGGCTGGTTGTGGAAGACATTTCTGATGTACTACCAGACGCAAAAGGCGACCGTTGGCTGTGGTTTAAGTGTCTATCAGGGGGTACAGTTAAAGCATTGCTGTAGGCTGGTGCTGTTGAGGTTGGGCTTTCGTGTACAAGGAGAGGGGAGATAGGAGGGGGAGAGGCTTTCTTGGTACCTTTACCAGTATTAGGAATGTATGAAGGGGTGTGGTGGGTTGGGGATCTGAAGTAAGCAGGGACGGACAGTGTTTTCCTGAGTGGAAAACTCTGTTCGTTCTGTGGGACTTGCTGTTGTCTCCAAACTGTACTGTTGGTTCCTGGGTACGGCTGCAGGGAACCGTTGACAGAGTTTAGCGAGGACCATGACTGTGTCGCCGATACTACCTGGAAACGTAAATATTTGTAAACATAAAACAAAAACATTCCATAGCCTGACCACACAGTGGTGGTGAACTTGTAAGCAATAATATTCAAATATGTACAGCACATATCTTACGCTATAACATACATAAATAGCATAATTAAGAAAAACTCACCTGATGCAATAACGCCTTATTTGGAAGTTGGTTGGTTTTGGACGGGCCGTTTCCGGTTGTACTTTGATAGGTTGGGTATTGCCGATTGTTGTTCAGCATCATTTCTTGTTTATATGCCTTCTGTTGAGCGTTGCAGCGTTAAGGTTAATCGAAGAACGAGCTTTCATGAGTAAGAGTATGTGCATCTTAGGAATGTACATGCAACTTGAATCTGACTGAAGGCCGTAACATAATTAGTGTGTGCGTGTAACGTTTTTTAATACTTAGGTCTCAAGAACACACAAATTCAGACTGCGTCAGGTACGACCGAATTTCAGTCCACACTACGATACCTTACCCCTTTCTACACTCCTAAACTTTGTGACTATTATCTAGCTTCCAATTCAAGCGCACCTACCTTCAAACGTGGAACATATCTCACCTTGAGACTTGTTGAGAGAGTTTTACGGAATGAATGACTTTGCAGTGACGAAAAACTCACTTCCGCGCCGCCATTTTAAATCCCGTGACCTGACCCCTCACCTTTGCCCCCGGACCAACATGGCGGACCCCCTGGCTCTGTTTGCAGGCGACGACAGCGATTCTGACAGCGATTCTAGCGAAAACGGCGACGCTCAGGCCGCTAAAAACGCACAGGGAACAGAGATAAAGAAACAGCAGAGTAAACCGGCTAACGCGCTGCCGGATCCGTTGTCTCTTCTGGCCTCCCACGGGCCGGCCGAGTTTCCTGGACAGACCGCACGAGAGAGGGATAGACTGGGAGAGGAGGACGGTGAAGGCACCGGAACCGGTCAGTGTGGAACGAACATGGGAGGGAGGATAGGACTGGGGTGAAGAACAGAGTCTCTCTCTCTCTCTCTCTCTCTCTCTCTCTCTCTCTCTTTGTGTGTGTGTGCAGTTGTATGTGTGTGCGAGTGTGTAAATGCAGTTGTATTTGTGTGTGTGTGTGTGTGTGGGGGGGGTTATTGAGTGAGTGTGTGTGTCTGTATGCCTGTGTGTGTTTGTATGTTTGTGTATGTGTGTGTGCGTGTTTGTATGTATGTATGCGTGTGTGTGTATACAGTTGTATTCAATGTCGTGTGAGTACTAGTACAGTTTGTGTGTGACTTTGTGTTCGTGTCTATATATGTGTGAGTGTGTGAATAGGTGTGTTACAGAGTACATGTGTTAAGTTGAACATGTCCATTTTATTATGTGTCTCTGATCTACAAAATCACACACATGCTAACATCATTACTACTAGTAATACTAGTATGCGTCTTCTGGCCGCTGCCTTCTTTTCATGACCTGTGATTTTCTCCCTCACAGCCCCAAGATGAGGACTGACATCTCTGACTGCCATGTTCTGTTTGTTGTTATGGATTTTTCTTACCTCTCTGATTCCCTCCACCACAGCCCCCAGATGAGGAGTATGTACCGTACTCGTACCGTGCGAAAGGCTCCGCCGCTCTTCCCGCGGTCTCGTCACACATGACTGAGGAGACCTACGAACCACCACCTCCTGCTGAGGTAAGACTGCACCCAGTTACTTATATCAGCCATTTTTCATTTATTATGATCTATCCAATCATTCATGTCATCCACCTTTTCATTCATTCATTCTTTTTCTATTTAAGGACCCCATTCCCTTTATTGGTGCAATCCAGATTGATCCCTGCTAAACCTTTATTTGCTCTATCATTCATTCCCTCCTTCTCCCATTCTTAATCAATAAACAAAGGCCCTAACAAACCTAGTAGTAATCTCTCCTATCTCATACTTTGTGCTATATCCTATTCTTCTTTAGTCATCCCATGTCTGGAGCTTTTCTCATTCATCCATTCACTCACTCATTCATTCTTTCCCTCCCTCCCTCTCTCCCTTCTTCAGGACCCCACATCAGAAGGGGACCGTATTCAGAAGGAGATGCGTGCCTGGAACTCGCTGTACCAGTATGAACCGGCGTCCCTGGTGAGGGTGAGTGAAGAGGACAAGGCCGTAGCCAAGATGATCGCCGAGGAGGCCGTGCTGGAGAACATGGAGCTAAACGCTGCACAGAAACGGGCTGCTGAGGAGGACAGAGGTCTGTATGTGTGTGTATGTCTGTCATTCTGTGTGTGTGTGTGTGTGTGTCTGTGTGTTTGTCTGTGTGTGTGGGTCTGTCTGTGTGTGTATGTATGTGTGTTGGTATATCTTTCTTTAGTCTTTCTGTATGTCTGCATCTTTTTGTCTGTCTGTGTGTATGTGCCTGTCTTTGTGTGTCTTTCTGTTTGTGGATGTGTGTTTGTCTGTCTGTGTCTAAATGTTTCTGCAAGTATCAATCTGTGCATGTGTGTCTGTATGTACACTTATGTAGCTCAAAATACCACCTTCATATGCAGGTACCAGTAACTGTACACAGGTAAAATTGGAGCATTGCAGAAAAAGGCATTTTGAGCCCTGGAATGTATGTGTTGATGTGTGTGTCTCCATCTGTAACATGTGTTTTTTCTGTACATCTGTACATGTGTACAATTTCTATTACAATTAAAACACAGGAACAATGTTATTCCAACTGACATTATTTCTTCTCCTCCCTCTCCTTCAGAATCAGAGCGCGGAGCTTCGAACAAGAAGCTGAAGTCCGAGTCATTCCGTCAGAAGGAGAAGCGGAAACGAGACCTGGGGATGGCCAACAGGGAGAAGAGCTACGTGGAGGAGGAGAAGAGAATTCTCAGACAGAGCTTCGGGGACACGTAACAGACTTGGGATGAGGGGGGGGGGGTAATGTACTAGTAGATGTGTTTCACATAACTTCTGCTTCCAATAAGACTACTCCAACAGAGACTTTGTAATAAGTGGGTGGGTGGGTATGAGGGGGGGGGGGTAAATGTACAAGGATTTTGTTTATTGTTTCAAAAACCTCCATTAGTGACAGTACAGTGTGTGTATGTGTGGAGGGAGGGGATCTAGAATTGTATCAGACCTAGAACTTCTGAAGACTTTGTGAACACATAGCAGACTTCTAATAAAGGGGTTGGGGGGGGGGGGTCGATGTACTACTCTGACAGAGCTTTGGGAACATGTAGCACACTTTGTAATGGAAACTGTGTGTGTGTGGAGGGACAAGAACAATGAGGTACTTACTACACAGTAGGATGTATTACATTTTTTACTTCTGAATCTGAAGATTTTGAATGTGTTTATTACAAGTTTGGGGGGGAGGGTAATATAGTATGTGTTTCACTAATGTGTTTCACTATACTCTCTCCTAGTCTCCTTTGAGCTAACCGATGAAGACACATAGCCTTCATACACAAAAAGACGCTTAATTTTCCTAACAATGGAAATCCCCTGCCCGACCTGTGGGGGGGATTCCCCATGACGTCATTGTAAACACCTGCGGAAGTACCTGTTAAACATTGGCTAAAATTACCCGAGAATTTTCAAAAGCTGTATTACTGACAATATTAGGGTAAACCAATTATCCAAACTTCTAAACTGCCGAATTTGGAAACTCTGTATCGCTAACAAACTTGTTTTTATTGTTGTTATTCAACATCGTTCCGTGTAACTATGTAACGTTATCTCTTGGGTTATCTATTCTCAGCTTGCAACCATATATACCATCACAAAACGGGCTCACTGACCTTCATCTTTACAGATAGATTCTTTATTGACTCAACAGAAAGACTTTTGTATGGTCTTCCACAACTTAAGGTGTAACAAAGCTAAATAACCATTACACACACACAACTAACATGCATGAATAAAGTCATCCTATGCACAGAATATACATGTACATTTAACGTACATTTAACGTTATACATGTAGCGTTATATGTATGCGGCGAACTGCGTTCAGAATACATTTGTACATGTCAGCGGTAACAATAAAGGTTCAACTATTCTCTAACATGTAGTCTCTAAGATTTAAACATTCTTTAATGTATTTCCCTAATATGAATTTGGTTGAAGAAGGTGTCTTGTTTATTTCCTGTGTCTTTTTCCTTAGTAATCTGACTGAATTAGAAAAGGATGCTAAAATCTGATGTTAACCTCCTTGATAGGAGGGACTTATTAGTAAGAAACATGAGCAGCATTCTATTTTATTCTCACACTATAAAGTGGTCAACTTCATGATGAAATTGTATTTATATATAGGTAGCAAATATAATGGCCCAGTTACAGTCACCATACAGTTCCATTTGGCATATTGAGTAAACGCTTGTCTGTATTGTAGGGACTATTCTTTATACTTGAAGTTGGCTCCCTTTTGGTGCTCACCAAGGAGTCGAGCCAGACGCAGCCCCTCAAGTGTCTTTGCAACGTCAGGATGTTCGTCATCCTCACCATAGATTCTCCGCCACATCTGTAGTGCCTGTTCAAAGTAGCTGACGGCCTTTCTGTGATCGCCAAACATAAACCAGCCGGCACCCAAGATATTGAGTGACTTGGCGATGTCAGGATGTTCAGTGTTCTCACCATGGATACTCCGCATCATCTGCAGTGACTGTTCATGATAGCTGACGGCCTTTCTGTGGTCACCAAGGTTCAACCAGGCGTTACCCAAGTTGTTAAGTGACCCGGCGATGTCAGGATGTTCAGTGTTCTCACCATGGATACTTCGCATCATCTGTAGTGCCTGTTCATAAAAGCTGAGAGCCTTTCTGTGGTCACCAAGGTGACTACAGGCGGCACCCAAGTTGTTAAGTGACTTAGCGATGTCAGGATGTTCAGTGTTCTCACCATGGATACTCCGCATCATCTGTAGTGCCTGTTCAAAATAGCTGACAGCCTTTCTGTAATCACCAAGGTTCCACCAGGCGGTACCCAAGTTGTTAAGTGACGCGGCGATGTCAGGATGTTCAGTGTCCTCACCATGGATTCTCCGCCTCATCTGTAGTGCCTGTTCAAAATAGCTGACGGCCTTTCTGTGATCACCAAGGTCACTCCAGGCGCTACCCAAGTTGTGAAGTGACGCGGCGATGTCAGGATGTTCAGTGTCCTCACCATGGATTCTCCGCCTCATCTGTAGTGCCTGTTCATAATAGCTGACGGCCTTTCTGTAATCACCAAGGTTCCACCAGGCGGCACCCAAGTTGTTAAGTGACGCGGCGATGCCAGGATGTTCAGTGTCCTCACCATAGATACTCCGCCTCATCTGTAGTGCCTGTTCATAATAGCTGACAGCCTTTCTGTAATCACCAAGTACCCCACACATGGCACCCAAGTTGTAAAGTGACACGGCGATGTCAGGATGTTCAGTGTCCTCACCATGGATACTCCGCCTCATCTGTAGTGCCTGTTCATAATAGCTGACGGCCTTTCTGTGATCACCAAGGTCACTCCAGGCGCTACCCAAGTTGTTAAGTGACGCGGCGATGTCAGGATGTTCAGTGTCCTCACCATGGATTCTCCGCCACATCTGTAGTGCCTGTTCAAAATAGCTGACGGCCTTTCTGTAATCACCAAGGTTCCACCAGGCGGTACCCAAGTTGTTAAGTGACGCGGCGATGTCAGGATGTTCAGTGTCCTCACCAAAGATACTCCGCCTCATCTGTAGTGACTGTTCATGATAGCTGACAGCCCTTCTGTAATCACCAAGGTTCCTCCAGGCGAGACCCAAGTTGCCAAGTGACGTGGCGATGTCAGGATGTTCAGTATCCTCCCCGTGGATACTCCGCCTCATCTGTAGAGCCGGTTCATGATAGCTTATTGACTTTCTGTGATCACCAAGGTGCCCCCAGGCGTAACCCAAGTTGTGAAGTAACCCGGCGATATCAGGATGTTCAGTGTCCTCACCATGAATACTCCGCCTCATCTGTAGTGACTGTTTAAAATAGCTGATGGCCTTTCTGTAATCACCAAGGTTCTTCCAGGCGGTACCCAAGTTGTTAAGTGACGTGGTGATGTCAGAATGTTCAGTGTCCTCACCATGGATTTTCCGCTTTATCTGTAGTGACTGTTCATGATAGCTGACGGCCTTTCTGTAATCACCAAGGTACAGCGAGGCGGTACCCAATTTGCTAAGTGAGTCGGCGATGTCAGGATGTTCAGTGTCCTCACCATGGATACTCCGCATCATCTGTAGTGCCTGTTCATGATAGCTGATGGCCTTTCTGTGATCACCAAGGTGACTCCAGGCAAGACCCAAGTTGTCGAGTGACGCGGCGATGTCAGGATGTGGTGTTCCCTCACCGTGTTTAGCAACCTCATCTTGTAGTGCCAGTTCCGCGCATGACTTCATCTTTTCGTACTCACACAGACTGTCATATACGACTGCTTGTAACTTTCGTGAGTTGTCAAACAAAACAGGCGTTTCTACCGGCGTTGTGTGGATTTGGATAAGTTGTGGAATTAAGGCCTTTAATGGTGTTGCTGTGTAATGGTACCTCATCAGTTGTTTTGTATTGGAGAAGTAAAACACTTTCCTCAACTTCTCTCCCACATCTGTGTTATCAGACATGAACGATAAGGCTGACATGTTCTCCACCTGTCCACGGTTGTTCATGTATGTCCGTAGCCTCAGTTCTGCTGAGATGCTGACCAGCACCATCAAGTGATGCGCGTTCTCACTGTTGATGACTCCTTTCTTGTGCATCTTCTGAATAGTCTCCCATATTGTGGTGGGTTGTATACCATAGAACAGTGCCCAACACGACACTGCAAGGGTCGAAAATCGATAGATGTCTTTCTTCACATCTAGCAGTCTCGATGTTGGTTCTTCGAGTGTAAATGTTTGGTTATTTGTATTTTCGCTCATAATGCTACATGCTTGTAACACAGATACCACCTTACCACTACTCTGTAGTAGCCAAGTCCACAAGGCGGAATACACATCGACCAGGTCCTGCTCTCCTGTGATCAAACACACATTCTCCAATATGGTGTCGAGGTGGTAGCCTTTCTTTGAATGCAAAGTCGGATCGTCTTGCATGATTTTGTCCAAATTACGCTCCAAGTTTTCAATTAAAACCTTTGTCATCTCACTCGGTGTGTGAATAAGTTCAGCTGTTTCACCCCTGCCCAGTGGAGTCTTGCATGCATGCGGCATGGATCCGTCGAACGCGAACCCGCGCGGCGTTACAGAGTCGTAGAACCAGCTGTCCAGTGGGTCTTTGGAGGAGAAATCATTGAGCGACTTGATCGCCATGGTCGGGAGGATGGTTTCTCCCAGGTTGATGACTTTGAGATGCAGATAGTGAGTGAGATTGCGGAAATACCCGACGTTACTCTCTGTTTCCTCCTCTATCAGGATGGCGAACTCCAGATCAGAGTACGGGGTTACTAACCCTGTGGCAAGTGAACCCAGGCCTATCATGGCGTACTTACAGGGAGGGGGGCCCATTGCCTCCATACATTCATCTACAAGGCCAGATATTAACGTTTGTCTCTGTTCAGCAATTGTTGTTTGGAACAATGTTATGATCGCTTCCGCTCTCTGCTTCTCCACTTCTCTTATCTCTGGATCATCGTCATCAAGACTGTAAGGATCGATCTCCTGCTCGATTTGTTTCAGCTTGTCTTCTACCTGCTCTCGGTCTTTCTTCAGTATTGATTTGTGTTTCTCCGAGTCACTGGTGTTCACTACTTGTTTGGTCCCCAGCACGTGCTCAACAAATAACTGGCTAACTTGTAGGATTGTTTGTTTGATGCCTTCTCTATCTTCTGTCCTTGCTCTGACCAGTGCGGCATTACGGAGTGCTGCAGCCTTGGTGAAGTCACTTCCGTCTTTCGACTTCTTTCCTCTTTCCAGGTAGACATCGCTTAGCCTGCACAGGGGCTCCGCCTCTTTCATGTATTGGTCTGTAGTTGGTTCTAAGAAAAAAGGATTGAAGGTTATGAAGACACGTCTTATTTCATGTTGCATAGATATAAATTAGAAGTCTTCAAACTGGTGGTTTGTGTACCTTTTTCAGCACTGTCGAAATTCTATTTATCTACCTTTTGTACGTTGCATATTTCAACATTGAATGAATGCATGCATATATTGTTGTGATACTTTTTCTCTTGGCCCTTGTGATATATTAGAATTGCCATATGAATCATACTTCAACAGCATGACATTAAAACACACTGCTATACATTTATACAATTAGATTCGAAAAACTGTGTTTTGACTGTTTTAGGTACGTACGTTTCACATGTACGGCCTTGAGCGCAGCTGCAAAGTGCTTCTCTGCCGTGTCCAGGTCTCCTGTTTGCAGGGCCCTGCAGCCCTTCTGTAACTGTTCTCTGTACATCCTGCAACATAGGACCATGTCATACATGTTTGCTGTATAATGAGAGATAAATGATGTACTATATCAGAATTGGTGGGGCAGATTTTGATGCGTTTAGTTTAGATTTTTGCACGACATCTTGTTCTTTGCGCTGTATAGACAGGATTTACAAAACACTTAGGCGTTCAGACTTAATGTTAATTACTCACACCTTAATTTAAAACATTGGTGAGCTCGTTTTGTTCTTTGCGCCGCATAGAGAAGTTTTACAAAGCACTTTACCGAGGGCAGGCGTTTAGACTGATGTCTTAAATGCTGTATTGCCTTACACCTTAATCTTAAAAACATGGATAAATTAGTTTTAAAGTTTTACGAAAGACTTTAAACTAGATTGATGGAACTTACCTGGAATTGTCTGCTGTAGGGACGTTTTGACCTTGAAGAACAGTCGTGACCTTGGCAGATCCAGTTGGCGGCCACCTGTTTGTGCTTTTGCCCCTCAGGAGCAACTAAAGGTAACAATTGGAGAAACCTTAACGTCTGACATAACAAACAAGAGTTCCACGATCTCATACCTTCGCCAAATGATGTTAACCCTTGCGGGTGACGAATTATACAATTTTAATCATTGATTTTGTAAATAAGAGCCTCATTTGCATGGATTATATCAGTTGATCATATTCTCCATCCAATGACAGCCTTATCATAACAAAAAGGCTATTATAGAACTTCCTCATAAATTATGCAAATCAGGTCAAAATTTGAATAAATTATATTTATTGATGTTCACCTTCACTTAACTTCCAAATGTGGCAAGTATGAAATTCGGGGTGCAGCAGTTACAACTATGGAATTATAAGAATTTGCCATTAATTATGCAAATTAGGTCCTCATTTACATAATCTATATCCTCAGATGTTTTTCTCGTTCTCAAGTAGATGTCACAAGTGTTTCATAGTTCTATTATCGAACAAAGCAGATTTATAGAATTTCCTCATTAATTATGCAAATTAGCTCCTGATTTGCATAATTGTCATCTGATTATGTCCAGCATCACTTCAACTACCTACATACCAAAAATCACGACAATACGTCAACCGGTTCTTGAGTTATCGTCCTTCAATTTTTTTTCAACAAATGCTCCTGCAGTTCTAGAACAAGGCGCTAGGGGACCCAAACTCATGTCACTTCTTCCCTACCCCAAGAGCTATCTACCAACCAAAATTCATGACCCTAGCATGTCCAGAACATGAGATATCAAAACCGGAAGTTCAGCTGCAGTACCTAGGAAAGCCGCAAGGGGGCCAAAATCTAATCATTTCTAGGTCTCATAAAGACCTACCCACCTACCAAGTTTCATTCCAATCCATCCACTGCTTCTCGAGTTATCTTGCTAAACCACACACAAACACACCCACACACACACACACACACAGACAAACACTACTGAAAACATAACCTTCTTGGCGAAGGTAATAAATAATTATATAATAGTTAACAATCAAACTTTCATTTACCAGTAGATTCACGATGAGGCGACCTTAGCACCTGAATGAACCTGATGAACATGTTGGCAACTGTACAAAATGTTGTTTTATGGAATAAAACACTAACCCGCCCTCTTCTTTCCGCCATGTCCTTCCTGACTTTTGCTGCGTGCAGTAAGCGATGTGTGAGGACGGTTTTCCCATGTGGATCGTCACATCGCTCCAGGGCTGTGCTGTACAGGGCTGTGGCCTTGGTCAAGTGTCTGGGCTCCTTTAAGTCTCGTCCTCTCTTAAGATTCACGTCTCCGAGACTTTTCATGGATTCTACTTCTAACAGCTTGTTCCTCTCCGCTATTCCTTCTACAAGAATCTTCGTGTAGCCCTCTAAGATGGAGTCCATATGGCCACCACTAGCCCATGACTTGTCCAAGTCTTGAAAGATTTCTGAAGTGCTTGCAACAGAATTAATGCTTGTGTTCCTGGTTGATCCAGCTATGTGCGTTTTCTGCCTGAGTTTCTCGGCGAGTTTGACCCTATGTTGGAGAGACTCGCCTTCCCCCGGGTCCTCACACCAGAGCAGCGCGGCCCTGTACAGGTTCAGGCCCCGCTCCAAGTTCCGCGGAGCTTCGGTCTTGTAGAGTCTTCCTTTCTCCACGTTCAAGTCTCCCAGGCTCTTCAGTACCTCCACTTCCTGCAGCCTGTCCATATCAGACATGGCGGCCAGAAGGGCGCGGCCGTACCCCGTCTGGGCCAGGTCATACCTGTTAGCCGCCACAAACCTCCGACATTGCACGTCTGCAGGGAGAAGGGTCCCCGCAACACGCAGTATGTTGGACATGGTGATCGGGCTGGTAATGATATCCAGATACAAGATTACTGACGAGGTCTACAAACGACTTTCATTTGCAGCGGAATATATCGCAAAGTGGTGAAACGATGTGGCGTCTGCTCATTCCCTTTGTTGTTGTGATCTGTGTACTAACGACGCTCATGGCAGCGGTATGTTAATTACATGGCTGCACGCGATGGCTGCACGCAAGTGGGAAATAAAAATAAAGCAGTCAATGGGAAGATACTGTATTGCATCACCAAATGACAAAGAATGTGCAGTTCCCTGGGTGCTGACAGGTGGCGTGACTACACTGTAACCATGGCAACTCGGGGCGTGGTTTAATACAATGCTAGCTGCCACAATCACCGGTCTGGATATGCTTTGCTGGCTGCTGGTTTTCTATGCGTTATAAGAAGAATTTGCAGTCGGTCATCATGACTTCTCGGACCTCATAGAAAAGAGCTGATGAAATAACTATTTCCGGGTTAGCAGACACTGAACATTGATCAGCAGGTAGGGAATGCTGTTAACAGTACTTGTATGTTTGGCTTTCCTATGTTTCTGGCATTCTAAATACCTTACATAGAGCGGTAGATAAAAAGCAGTGTATGTTGTCAACAGCCGATAGGATACCGGTCTGCCCTATGTTTCTATAGCTTCCATTTTGTTGTAGTCTAAAGCTCCACATACTTTATATCCAGCTCGTACATGTAGATCTATCCACGGTGCTGATTGGCCCATCGGTGGATCTATTCACGGTGCTGATTGACCCATTGGTGGATCTGTCCACGGTGCTGATTGGCCAAAGGTGGATCTATTCACGGTGCTGATTGGCCCATTGGTGGATCTGTCCACGGTGCTGATTGGCCAAAGGTGGATCTATTCACGGTGCTGATTGGCCCATTGGTGGATCTGTCCATGGTGCTGATTGGCCAAAGGTAGATGTATCCATGGTGCTGATTGGCCCATCGGTGGATCTATCCATGGTGCTGATTGGCCAATCGGTGGATTTGTCCATGGTGCTGATTGGCCAATCGGTGGATTTGTCTATGGTGCTGATTGGCAGCTATGCCTTTAGTGTTGATTTGTTGCTTGTCAAAAGCAACATATTGGCTGATTGGCTGTTTGCTACCTTCCCAGCCTGCTGATTGGCTGTTTGCTACCTTCCCAGCCTGCTGATTGGCTGTTTGCTACCTTCCCAGCGTGTTGATTGGCTGTTTGCTACCTTCCCAGCCTGCTGATTGGCTGTTTGCTACCTTCCCAGCGTGTTGATTGGCTGTTTGCTACCTTCCCAGCCTGCTGATTGGCTGTTTTCCCCCCCATACCAACCTGTTGATTGGCTGTTCGGTCCCTTACCGGCGTGCTGATTGGCTGTTAGCTCCCCTCCCAGCGTGCTGATTGGCTGTTAGCTCCCCTCCCAGCGTGCTGATTGGCTGTTTGCCGCCCTACAAGTGTGCTGATTGGCTGTTAGCTCCCCTCCCAGCGTGCTGATTGGCTGTTTGCCGCCCTACAAACGTGCTGATTGGCTGTTAGCTCCCCTCCCAGCGTGCTGATTGGCTGTTGTGTTGCAGGTACGACCCGGGATACGACGGTCCGTACTTCATGATGAACGGGCAGCCTGTGGACGAGTTTGGCCGTCCGGCGTATCCGTACGAGGTGCCTGTGGATCCGTATGGCCGGCCGATAACACCGGGCGACATGGAGGGGGAACACCCGGGATACGGGTACAGATAGGGGAGTGTTTTAATGTTAACTAAACCATTACGACATCAAACTAGACACAGGACTGTTCTAGTAAATGCTGTAACAGGGTTACAACACAGAATGAAACGGTAACAAATTTGTTTTCATATTTCGATCATCTGAATGTACAAATGGTAGGAAATATTCTCATCTGGATGTTCCTTACTCTGAGATACTGGTTCAGATAGAGGGAGACTGATTCAACAAGCTCAACAAGGTCTTAGGTAATATTAAGTACAAAAACAACATAGTAAGAGATACAAGCCAGTATGTTATCGTAAGAAGTATACAAAACAGGTTGAGTTGGTAACAATTTTTTAATATGGAGTAAATCATCAACAATGTAAGATTTTCATTCAAGACTGTCACTGTTATAATGAAGCCAGTATGTTATCGTAACAAGTATACAAAAAGGATGAGCTAACTTGTCACCCAATTTCTCAGTAAAACTGGTACAATTTTCCCTTAGAAATTTGTTCCACAGTGTGTGTAGATATTGTTTTCTTGAATGTGAACATGAACTTTAAAATTATGCTATAGGATCAATTTGTACAATTCTTTTAAAGACTGCAATGTTCACTGTGGCCGGTAGACTTTATAATACCAGAACTCACTTCCAAAGCATGATGTACAACTTATACTATGACAACATAATTCACACTTTATCCTGCTAGTATAAGACCACAGAGTATTCTGGAGGAGTAGAGTCGCTTAAAGTTTGCCTTCTGTGATGCCTGTCTTTACTTGGAGCTGTGTGCACACGTATATTGCTTTGTGATGTTAATAGATCAAATTAAAGAAGCAGGTTATAACATGTCAATGCTTTATTTTGATCCAATCTTTCAAACTGCAGTTCCCTATCAGAAGATAGGTGGCGTGTCTGGACAGTGCACCATGATAACCATAGGCCGGCAGTAGAAGTCCAACACACTGTTGTAGGGGCTTTTGCATTGTTTCTGTTTAGAGGATCAACCAGTAGTATTTCAGTCAGAAGGACAACTGTGTTCTGCAAATCTCGAACTTGACGAAACGTTAACTTTTCACCCAACACCCGCAGGTCAGCTGTCCTGTCTCTGCAGATTTAGACCCCGTTCACACGAATACGCTGTAAGCACTTTCGATCCAGATTCCACCGAAGCCGGATTCAACTGGATCCCCATCTGAACGCTCCAAATCGCATTGAATGCGCCTCGATCCCAAACCACCTAGGGATGTAGTTTCGAAGCGATTTCACCGGATCGCGATTTGCGTCGCAATGTGGCTTCACCGGTTTACTTTACATACTGACCCGGTCATGGATTGCGGGGTGGTATTTCTTCATACGCAATACCAAAATACACATGGCAGCAACTTTAAAAGCAGTAATGGTTCGTGTAAACAGGGCAACTGTCTAGTCTCTGCAGATTTAGACCGTAGCTGATGAGGACTGCTGCTGTGCCAGTTTCTTTCCCATCTGTTCTGCCTGGTTTCTGTACTTTGTCTCTTGTTGCTCATTGCCCAAAGCAGCCCAGGCCGAGGACAGGTTCCTGAGTGTGGTTACAATCCCGGGATGTACTGCAGCCGGAACAAAGACACTACGCTTCTTCTGTAGTGCCTGTTCAAAATAGCTGACGGCTTTTCGGTAATCACCAATGTTCCCCCAGGCGGCGCCCAAGCCGTTAAGTGAGTCGGCGATGTTAGGATGTTCAGTGTCCTCACCATTGATACTCCGCATAATCTGTATTGACTGTTCAAAATAGCTGAGGGCCTTTCTGTAATCACCAAGGTTCCCCCAGGCGTTACCCAAGTTGTTAAGTGACGTGGCGATGTCAGGATGTTCAGTGTTCTCACCATGGATACTCCGCAACATCTGTAGTGACTGTTCATGATAGCTGACGGCCTTTCTAAAATCGCCAAGGTTCCCCCAGGCGTTACCCAAGCTGTTAAGTGACTTGGCGATGTCAGGATGTTCAGTGTCCTTACCATGGATACTCCGCCACATCTGTAGTGACTGTTCATAATGGCTGACAGCCTTTCTGTGATCACCAAGAGCACTCGAAGCGCTACCCAAGTTATTAAGTGACTTGGCGATGTCAGGATGTTCAGTGTCCTCACCATGGATACTCCGCCTCATCTGTAGCGCCTGTTCATGATAGCTGACGGCCTTTCTGTGATCACCAAGGATCCCCCAGGCGGTACCCAAGTTTGTAAGTGACATGGCGATGTCAGGATGTTCAGTGTCCTCACCATGGATACTCCGCCTCATCTGTAGCGCCTGTTCATGATAGCTGACGGCATTTCTGTAATCACCAAGGCCAACCCAGGCGTTACCCAAGTTGTTAAGTGACCCGGCGATGTCAGGATGTTCAGTGTCCTCACCATGGATACTCCGCCTCATCTGTAGTGCCTCTTCGTAATAGCTGACGGCCTTTCTGTGATCACCAAGATAGTTCCAGGCGGTACCCAAGTTGCCAAGTGACGCGGCGATGCCAGGATGTTCAGTGCCCTCACCATGGATACTCCGCTTCATCTGTAGTGACTGTTCATGATAGCTGACGGCCTTTCTGTGATTACCAAGGTGACTCCAGGCAGTACCCAAGTTCGGCCAAGTGACGTGGCGATGTCAGGATC